TATTATATTATATTATATTATATTCGTGTTTTCGCAGTTTCTGGGGATTTTATCTAATGTTACCGTTAGTCGTCGCTATTTCCTCTTTTATCAGTCTCCACCTACGGTCTCCACGGTGCAGCTCCAGTCTCTCCTGTTGTAGTAATCCGCCTGCCGTGCTTCCAGCTCCCATTCTGTGTCACCGTTCCACCTCGAGAGGAGAGAGAGGAGCGACAGACCGACAGACGGACTCCTGCTGCTGCTGCTGCGCGTCCATACACACTAAAGAACGAAGAACACACTAAACCTCAGCTTCCACTCCCTGCTGTGGGCAATGACATTTTTACACTGACGTGGGAATATACAGGAGAAAACGCAAACATGACGGTGGACTTTGAAGAATGTATCAAAGATTCACCCAGATTCAGGTGAGCAGGCTGCTTTTCTCATCTCAGCGGTGCGCAAAAAATGGCACACCTTCTTTAACGCATGATTTCCCTCAGACTGGGGGGCCGTGAACGCCTCCTCTCATACAGAATTTATGATGCATCAACAGGGTAAAATATGCTCTGGGCCAGAATTTAACCATGTGTTCACTGACAGGATGGCGATTTCTTTGATTCGACAATAAGGCTTCAGTCAATTTTGAATTATAAAATGTGGGTGTCATCATTTTGGATTTGTTTAATTCAAAACACTGACCTCAATTTAGATACATATTATTCTTGACGGTGCAGACCAACATTGGTAGCGGCATTGCATATGCGGTTGTTGGCTTGTGGTTGTGTGATTTTTCCAGTTGTGTGTGTGTGTGTGTGAGTGTGATATTAGCTCAGTGGATGTGGGTGGACGGACACTCACTGCCTCACACAGCGAAGGTCCATTTTTCTAAGGGTAACAGATGTAAGCGATTTATATGCATTACTGAACCACCTATTAAATATCACTGTCCGATACATTCGCTTCAACGTGAGTGTGTTGAATGGAGCGTCTGTGTGTGTGTGTGTGGGGGGGGGGGATGGAGTGGAGCTGCGTGACATACAGGCTGGTTGCAGTACAGTGTCCTCATCTGTTCAGAGACAAGGCCCTGCAGTCACTTTGTCACATCTGTTGGAGCGCACTGTTTCCCATCCTTTGGCTATTTTTTTTTGACAGGAAACATTTTTTTAATGATTGTACACAATCAGTGACTAAGCAAAAATAGAAAAAAAATACTGCATATGATTCAATTCATTCAGGACTTGACCTGTGTGCTGTGGTAAAACACCCCCACTGGTTCAGGGAGCCGTACTCTGGTGATGTGACAATAACTAAGGATTTTGATACAAAAATGAATCATTTTAAGGATTTACAGTCACAGTCATGCGTTAAACACTGCAACACAAAAATGTTTTATTTATAGATAAAAAAAAATAGTTTACCAAAATAAGCCTCTAGAGCAGGTGGTACAAAGTATAAAAGATTTGAGAACCACTGCTCTAGATCTTGATTTTATATAATTCTTTAACTAAATGATTGCATACTTTGAATGATCAAAGTATGCAATCATTTAGTTAAGGCAATCATTTATCTAAGGCAAATCCACTGGAGAAGATATGTCCTTACTGCAGCAGCAGCAGAGGCAGCAACAACAAGGACAGTGGTTAGTCCAGCAGACAGAGAGAGGAGTTTGAGTCCTGGGCACACATCCAGCCGTCCAGTCCTTGGCCTGTCCACCGGAAGGTTGTAGCTACACTTAGTCCGTGTGCCAGTCTGGCTGCACTTCTGTGGAGGCCGGTGGGAAACTACTGTACATCATAGCAGGCTTCAGGCCAGGGATCCCCCTGTTGAGTGTGTCAGTTGAATCTGCAGCAGATGTGAAGTCAGCAGGTTGTCCAGAGTAGGAGCAGACCTGTGTAGTCAGTGCACAGATAAAGATGTCTTTTACATACACTTCATTTTTCTCTCTGTGACCTGGTTCCTCTCTCTCTCTCTCTCTCTCTCTCTCTCTCTCTCCCTCCCTCTCGTTACCTCTCTGTTCTTAAACAACTTTTTTTGTTTGAAGTGTTGAAGAGGTGTATGTCCGTAGGCAAACAATTTTCTATATATTCAGTAAGTCAGGAAAGCAAGTAAATGAGTGAGAAACGATGTGGTGCGTGACAGACATTAGGTTTTGCTGCTGCTTTGGTGCCAGAGTGAATGGCCGAGACAAAAGGTCACAGGAAGAAGCGAAGAGTCTGTGCAGATTCTGACACTTTCCCATGATCTTTTCAGGGTTGTTAAATTCTTTCACTAAAATGGGTTGAGTTCCCACTCAATGAGTTGATTTGTCATTGAATGGGAAATGCAGGCAAACGGATTATTTTATAATATGAAGTAAATATTAAATAAAAGGTGTTGTGTGAATGGTAACCTTAATAATTAAATAAATAAATAAATTGATTAATACATTTATTAGAAAATTAGGATTACATTCCTAGTTAACAGATACTTATATATATATCTATGAAGATTCTCAGTCATCCAGGTCATGCTCAAAGTTCTGTTAGGCAACTGGATGTGAAATTTGGGTGGCCTAGGATGCAGTAGTATGAGTTCTAAATAATAATATTTGATGTACTAATACAGGATCACAGAACATGAGTATCCCTTAAAACAAGGACATTTGAAGGTTGTGGCATTTTGTATCATCATGTCCCAGTGTTTGGACTCCATCCATAACTGTTTCCCAAACGAAAATATTTCATTTTAATGATCAGTCAGTAATATGTGACTTCTTTAAAAAAGAGCACAATATTTTCCCATCTTTTTTTGTCTTTTGTCAAAATGTGCACACTGTAACTGCACCTCCAAACGTGTAGCAGTTCTGTCTGTGTGTGAGACTGGGTGTGTGTGAAGGTATGCTTCTCTTAAACACTGGCCAGGCGTTCATATCGTTCTCTTCCATCGTGTTTTCTGTTGACTAAATGCTTCTTTTGTCCCTCCCTGCTCCATCTTTTATTCTGCTGTCACCTGCTGCCATCATTCAAATGACAACAATAAAAAAACCTGTGCATCTGCCTGACGCTGTTGATCAAAGGACAGGCATTCATTATATATATACACATATATTCAGTTGAAGTTGTTGTGTTTGACAGACAGTTGAGTCAAGTATTGAGTACTGTGTCCAGTTTCATCACATTTTCATTCATCTTTTCACCCTTGGTCCAACGGCTAGGTACCACAGCACTGAGTATCTGCTGATGTTAGTGCATAGAGGAATGTACATGTGTAGTAATGTGACAACAAAGTTTTTTTGAATACATCAACAAATGTTGTGGGTTTGTGATTGAGTGGACGGCCAATAAATGAGCTCTACATTCATGAACATTCTACAAAAAGAGTAAAAGAGAAAAGCCAGACAGAGGGCAAGTCATTCATACTTTGTATTTAATGGAAGCATAACATTGTCCTGACATTTACACACTCACTTAGTTCTATTGATAAGAGTAAAAATATTCTTATGGGGTTGCCTAGCAACAGCTCATCTAGGAGAGGGCCAAGAGAGAAGAACAGAATATTTAAGAATTGCTCATCTAGGAGAGGGCCAAGAGAGAACAGAATATTTAAGAATGAAACATTATTTACTGGACAACTTTGGAAATAATAACATCTATCTGAGATTTTTTGATTTACTAAATCTAACATCCAGTCATCTTTCACTTTACCTTAATGATCTGTCTTCATATTAAATATATATTATTATACTTTAAAACAAACACATGAAGGTCCTCTGTGGTCAGTCCGCTTAGTTTTCTAATTTTGAAACTTGTCACTTGTCTGGTTTCTGTGTCTGTTTCCATTTCACTTGTTCACCATAAACTACATCACAGCTGTCTAATTTCTTGTTAAACAGGATACAGTTGCGTAAGCGTGAACTCAGGCCTGAACATGAACTCGGCTGAACAGCTCGGCACCTTGGTTGTTACTTTGGTTTACTTTAGTCACAAAACTTTTCAAAATCTCTTTAAATGTTCTCATTTGTTTGTATTTATTTATGAATAAATAAATAACTACATGCATGAAGGTATTTAAATATATTACTTATATCATCATATTTAAGCAGCGTAGTTGACCAGACCAGATTACTACTAGGTTACTAGCAAGAGGTCACACAGTGTCAGTGTCAGAAGGCAACTCATAAGACTTATATTTGATGTTCATTGCTCGTGTATGTAGAAAACCTGTGTTACTTAACCTTCACTAAAACTCACATGATGCTTGAAGTAGTGGTGTTAAACTACTACATTTATCTGTATAGAGATCAAATAATGTTCAATCCAAATATTAAAACCAAATAGAAACTAAATGATAAAGGCCTTCATTTGTGTGTTTAATCTGAATCTGAACTAAGAGCTGCAGACATCAGTACCAAACAGCTATTCCTTTGAATAAAATAATTCTCTCAGCTTTTAGTGAGCCTTTAGTTAATTTATTAAATTTCTTGCTACTAACTGATGATCAATATGCCAGTAAAATGATGAAGAAAAAAATATTTTGATTGACTAATTGTGTCCTTCAGAAATGCGATCTGAGCCAGTGAGAAATCGTGAACATTACGTCAGTTCTGACGAAGGCTTATTCCCACCTTCAGCTGTGATCGCAGCCTCAGACAGGAGACACTTCACTGCCTTTCCTTTGTGACTTCGAACGACAGGGTGTTTCATTTGTTTCATACATCTGTGTGGTTCTGTGGTTTTCTTTTAACCCTTGCATCACCACCCCCACCCTCACTTCCATTGTTATGATAGAGAATTCTTGTAGCCTTAGTGCTGTGTAAAAACATGTAAATAACAGCCACACTGCCTGGAGGGGAAGATGCAAAAATGTCACATGACTTGTTTAAGAGGGCCTGTCAAATAGGCCTTGTCTGTATGAGGAATAAGGAGAGAGAGTCTAACATATGTCCACTGGAGTAAAGGACCACACAGTTTAATGTCACCTACAGTCATGTTAATACTCACAGTGAATGAAGCTTTTACTGTTAAAGCCAGACCTCTTTTTTTTTTCTAATGGAATGATGTCGAGGCTAAAGCCACCGAGTAGGAAATTATTTACTTTTACGTAAGTCTGGACCTAATGTCATCCTTACCAACATGGTCGTTTAGGTTAGTGTGTTTCATCCAATCATTGTGGAGAAACAGTTTAATAGCAGAACACCACTGACATTTAGCCCTGATCTAGAGGGATTTGACCCACAATAGAGTTTTTTTTTCTTTAGGCTACAGAAAGGTCAAACAATCGATTTGCGCTAACACACACTCTAACCTACACAGTATTAGCTGGAATTACTAACCGGTCAATGACATAGGTTTTATTACGTTGTTGTTTCAGTTGAAAATAATGATAATAATATATCATAGTACATAGCAGCAATATTATGTGGTTACTTACGTATTTGTATTTTATA